CATAACCATCCCCCTTCTTACCCTATATTTTGCTAGTGTAAGAACTTCCTGAGATCAGAACTGTAATGGGCTCAGACCTACCATCTGCATTCCCATCTAGTTTTGGTGTCTAGAATACCTTGTGACAATGAGTACCACAGCAGACCACACACTGTTGGAAAGAATTCCTTTGTTTTAGATTGGCTGTCTAATGACATACTTGTATTTAATGCTCTTCAGACCCGAGACAATAAACAATGAGGAATTGCTTCTCCTTCAATTTTAACATGCCAGCCATAGCGCTGGAGGTGTCACTGTCCTTCAGCTGTCTTCTCATGTGAAAATAGTTTCATTTTTTTTGTTACCCTACTAGCTTTCTCTAGATCTTACATCCCCCTTGTGAGTTATTAGAGATGACCACAACTGCAAGCAACATTCAAGATGCTACTGTACTGTGGACTTAAGCACAGTATTTTCCTTTTTTCCGCTCTCCTAATAATTGCTAACATTCTTCTAGTTTTTTTTATTGTTGCAAAGAATTGTTTTCAGACACTTCCTACTTCTAAAATACCTATTCTAGATGGTAAGTTAACTTCAAGATCATCACAAGGTACACAAACTGAAAGCTCCCTCTTGCCCACATGAATTATTTTGTTTTAATACCAATGAAATGTCAGAAAAAATTCACTCAGATACTCAACATCATGAGATATTTCTGCAAATTTCTGCAGTTCACTTCAGTTTTCATTACCCTAAATAGTTAAAAATCAGTAGTGAACACTGCTGCCTCAATACAGAATCTCATTTCCAGAATATTTATAAATATGCTTAACTTTAACCTGAGCACATCTAGGAAACAAAGTTGTTCTACCATAATAAAGAACCTGACTAGTTACTCTGGCTCTTCACCTCCTATTTTTCAGCTTGCTAGTTCAAGAAAGGGTATGGTTCTTTATCTGATGACATCTTTATGCCTTTGGAAACAGACCCTGCCAAATGCTTTTTGGATAACAAACAAATGTTTTACCTTTACATTAACAAGTCTCTTTCATATCTTTTGAAGATTTCACATTTCACTCTCTCCTCTCCACATCATCTCTTTCCAATTTTATGATTTTAAGCATTAATTCTATTTTTTTAAGTTACCTACGACTGGTTTGGTTGTAATAGCACATCAAACATTCTGTAACTTCCAAATCCTCAGCAAAATTGCTTTAAAAGTTCATCATTATGTTTGCTTGAGATTGTTTTCAGGCAGCAACCCCCCCAGTAACTCTAAAGTATCTGTCTTTAGAGACCATCACAGACTACATAAGGTAAAAGTTCTCTGAGTCTGTTATGTTGCTTTCATTAATACTAACAAAATAGTTTGGAAACAGGAAAACTGCTTGCGAGATACAATTTTGTCCTAATCTGCAATATACTACTCAGCATTGGTAAGGGCTCAATTGAAGTACTGTGCTGTTTCCAGCAGCACAGGTCAAGAATGACGACAACTGGAAAGACTTTAAAGGTGAGCAAGAAGACTGATTAGACATCTTAAAAACACAGTCAAAGAACATATTTAAAGGCTTGACTTGCTTTGAACAGAACAGAAAAAGCAGGGAAAGGGAAAAGATGGCAATACAAAAGTTTTCAGTATCAGGCACCATGACAAAGAATGCGGTAATCTTTCCTTCATAGCTACAGTATTTCACTGTTACAAAGAAATAGGCTTATAATTTAACAAGGGGTCAAATGGGAGGGAAAAAAGGTTGCAGTGAGAGCAGACTGCCTAGAGCAGGTTACGAGTCTTACTGCACTGCCAGCATCCAAGACAAACAATCAAAAATCTTACACGTGTTGTGTCTTGCAAAGAAACTGCTCAGTCAGAAACTTCAAGTCTCTCACTGCTATTTTTCTATTATATTACAGTTGCTTGTCACTCCTGGAAGTCCTAGGCTAGCTTAGACACTAAGAAGTCCAAGGACATGGATGATGCACTAGAAGATGATGAGAGTTCAGAAAAATCCCTGAAAAGATGAGCCAACAGTGCCAAACTAGGAATTGATAAACATGTGGCATAGCTAGTCCATACAAGAGGTCATAATTTAACTTCTTTCTTCGTGAAGATGGTTTTGAATGTGCAACTGACACACGCTCACCACATACTAAAATTCTGAGTGTAAACTTACCACTGACTTCTTGACATAGTATTAAGAGCTAACCTCTCAACCACCCTTGACCTGGTGTTTGGAATTTGGGAAAAAGCCATTACATTGATTTCTGAAAGGTGACTACAGAAGTTTGGGAAACCGAGTAGCACAAGTTCTTTTTCAATCAGGTATGTATATATGACTTTTTGTTTTTCTTTTATACTTTGAGACTCTAGTGGGGGTGTGGGGTGTGGAGGGAGGGGATCAAATCCACTAGGTCACTGTCCAGAAAGTTTTACTTACCAACTCTGTTTTCTCATTAGCTACATGCAGTTGCTGAGTCAACTGTTGAAAGCCAGTCAGTTGATCCTGCGAGAAGAATTCAGAGCTTCTTAGAATTGTTATCATAATAAAGAGGTGTATAATTAAACAGTTTCACAGTCAGCTTAAAACATTTCAAAAAAAGTTACACATTGCAGGAAATTCAGTATGCCTTTGTAGATTTTAATTAATTACTTCTAGCTGTTGACTAAGTAATCTGGCAAACAAAATTTACTACTGAAAAATGTAACTGAATTCCATTCAGTTACAAATTGCCTCCTTCCAAAACTCATACATACTTACTATCAAAACATGAAAGCATACAAGAGTAGTGCCTTTGAAGAGCCACACAGATTATGAAGCTACTATAAACATTTTTGCTAAGCACAGCAGCAGAATTGTACCCCTTAAGAATTAAAAAAATGCCTGCATAGACACACTTAATTTGCTCTTTGCCATATAGAATGTCATTCAACTGTTTGATTAAACTCTGGAGACCTTGAACTTGCCCTCTATCTTCCTAGAAAACTAGCACAAAAAAAAAAAACCCAAACCAATGCATCTGCATCATGCCAAGTGTCTTCAGAGCACAGGAATATCTAACTGTGCTGTGTTTACTTCATAGTCTCAAGGCCAGGTTTATGTCAGAAACCTATTCCAACAATTCCCTTTATTATGTCCAACCCTTATTACAATTATATTCTCTATCATCTTTGCCTTCTGACAATTTTAATTCTAGTTGGTCTTACCTATTTACCTCTGATAGCTATTTTCTGCTCTGCCATTAAAAGCAAAACCTAAAATAAAAATGTTTATTTAACTGAGAAGTCTTCCTCTGTGGGAGACCAATAGCATTTACAAACAAAGGCAGCTCAAACTCAGACTTGTTACAGTGGCATTAAAATCCACCAAGAATTTAGTTACCAATGAAAACTGGAATCGGACAACCCTAAATAAACTCTGCAACAGATATCAATGACTCTATGCTCTAGTACATGTATGCTATCAGTAACTGACAATGTAACACGAGATAACCTAATAGAAGGAATAGCAGCAAAAAGCTGAAACTACGGTTAGGTAAAACGTCCCCATAACTATTACTTGAAATAACTATGAAACTTGACAGAGCATAACAGCTGTACAGATGTTTTTCCTGCTTCTTGGAAAGAACATCTTGCTGAAGTGGACTTAATACCACAACAGAACAGAAATCGGTAAAAAAAAATAAATTCTGCTACTTAGGTGAGTTTTAAGTGTGCCCACAAGTCTAGTGCACTTGAAAATGGAAAGCAAATTTAAAACTTCATAGTATCTCTTTACAGACCTAGAAATACCCATAGTGAGATACACATATGCATGAAGTTTATATTAGTTCTTCACAAGCCGAGCATCCTTATATAGCTCATCAGAGCAAAACAGCTTTTCTGAAATAAGATTTCCTGACAGGCCATCCCCAGAAACAGAAGAGAAACTGGCTCTAAACACAAGCTAGCATTAGAAGAATACTGGTGAACTTTATTTTTCATCTGTTTACACATGCTTCTTTACTGAATGACAACAGGAAATAGAGACTACTTTTCCCACTACCCCACTATGATCTTACAGACAAAATTCAGGATTCAAACACATGAGAAAACATGCATGACTTCCACATTAAAATCTAGAAATCTTCAGAAGCTTTTTCAGATGTTGAACTCTGCTGAAGATTTCCAACAACCCAATTCAAACATATGATTGTTTATATGCATGTGCACATCTTGTGCACATATATATATATATATATAAAAATCCACTCAGGCTCAGTGTATTCCTCAAGTTCCTGTCCATATAGTTGAAACAGAGAACTTTTCCAATCCTAACAGTGCATTCATCTGATCAATCAGTGACCACATCTGACCACTTAACTTTAGATAACTATTACGGAAAATAATTAATATTACTGGTACCCTGGTACGCCTCTCCCCGCCCCATCCTTCATTTTGAGTATACACAGACCCAGAATCTCTACAGTACAGAGAGACATTATGAAATTCACAAAAAATATAAATGAAAATTACTTTCTGCTTTTGATTTTCAGCCATGTGAATCTGCGTTGCAGTCATGCATTCCTGGTACTGCTGCCGGAGTCGATCACACTCCTGTAATACAGTCTGCAAGAGCTCTCTTGCTTGGTCTTTTTCCTAAGTTACAGAACAATGGTTTATAAAAAATATTCTATTATAGCTTATAATAGCTTATTTTGCTTATCTTTTCAGATTTAAGTATTACCTTCTATATCCCACATGTACTTGCCTTCTCATATCACATTCACTGTTCTGATCAAAATGACAAGCTACTAAAGAAAGTTAAATTGAACAAAGTATTTCATTAATTTCCTGCACAAGAATTCCATATAAAGATCAAGTCAACTAGGTAAAATTACAGGCACAAATTAATACTATAAACTTCCTACATGAATCTAGGAAAGGAGTTCCTTCAGGTCATTAAGTTGAAAGTGTAAGTACTTGTTTCTTCAGCTACAGAAAGTCAAGAAGGTCTCAAAATAGTCTCAAGGAACTGTTACAAATGAACTCTGAACCAAGAAATAAAACAGCTTCCCAAACCTGCCAAGACACAAGAAGAGAAATAAAACAGTACAAATGTTTCGTCTCACACACTTGATTCATCAGTCGTAGTTGTTCTTGAAGATTTTTCACTATGCCTTCATCTGCAGGAATATCAGTTTCCAGTGGCATGAAAGGAAGACTCTCCAGCTGCTTCTCGAGAACCTCTTTCAACTCTGCATGCAGCCTGAAATTCAAAGAACAAAGTTCAGCAAAGTATTTAACAGGGATTTTTTTTGACAACTGAAGTATACCGTACCTTCAATCCATACTGTTTACTTCTAGCTCGTGTTTCAATCTATTAAGCAAGTTATGTCCTATAAACGTTCAAAATAGTTTAATAACTGGTTCTTCTAGAGATACAGTTAAGACTCCTAAACCCGATGCTGTAATCTATATTAAGCACTTAAAGACTCTACCATTAAGCTCATGAGTATGAAATCCTCAACTATTAAGTAGATTCAAAAGATTTCAAGGTCCTAGGAAAAAAAAATCTTTTTCAGGTTTCGAAAGCAAGAAAAACAGCAGTAGTAATAGGGCAGTGCAATTGTTTACCTTTTGTTTTCCTTGGTGACTAGTTCAAATTTTAGTCTTATCTCGCTTATTTGTACCTAAAACAAAAACAAGCAAGAGTAAGCACTCATTCAGTGACACAAATTTTGACGATTCATTCTTTCACCTTCTAATTCCAATTGATACTACAAAAGATGGACAATGTAATTCAGCATAATGCAGTAAATAAGAGTAACTTTCTTTTATAAGGAAAGTCACAGGATACCCTTTAAATTTAACAGCTGCTAAGTCATGTTATACCTGAGCATTGAGAAGTTTTTATGAGCATTAAACTTAGATTTTGGAATTCTTATTGCTCTTACAGATTGATTCCTAATTAACTCAAGTTCCTTTAGAGATACGGTGGGTAACTCATCTTCTATGCAGTAAGCATTTGAGAAAATACTTCAGGAATTAATTGAGGAGAAACTTCAGCTACATGAGTCAAATGGACTGTTTTGTTAACTAAATAGTGCAACAAAGGCATAATGCTTCTATTCCCTTTGGAAATTGGCCAAGCTTGAATACTGTATTTGCAGAATCTTTATGATGGACAGATCAAACAACTTAAGTGCATTAAACCAAAACCAGAGTATAACTTCTGCATGTAGATCACAAGTAAAAATTGTTTCCTGTGTGCCACAGGCTTTAATTATTAAACACATCACCTTGCTCTTCAGTGCTTATATAAAGCATTACAAATTTTTATTTTTCTGTGGTTGAAAGGAAGACATTTTCCCCTTCGCATCAGCCTCCATGATAATAAGCATCTAAAAATTATTTGATCCTGAATTATTTGAACCTAAGAATGAAGAAGGCTGCATGTATCTACACTTGCAAGACTGAGCTGGAATGCATGGCCAAGATCAGACCTGGAGGGAAAAAGGGAAAAAGCTGCCTCATCTGACTATCACCTAGGAAAATACCTGCAACAATATCAGAACACCTACGGAAATAAACCACACATTTTGTTTCACAACACTGCTTCTTCAAACACACAGTAATCTGTGCAATTTTAGCAATCTCTCAGCCTTTTCATAAAAGCTCTCCATTGAAATATTTGAGGCAGACTGCAGTCAAGCAAGTTTGTGAAGCATGGTGCATGCGTACTTTACTGACAAAAAAATAATGGCCTAGATATTTATACTATAAACTATTAAGAATATACAGTCTGAAATGTTAGGAAAATCCATACCTGATAAAGCTGCAGCTGCTCCTTCATTTCTTCCAAGTGTTTATCATAGGCTGCTCTTAGAACTGACAAGCTAACAAGTTGAAAAACATACTTAGAATAAATTCTGTAAATGCTCAAATTACGTTCTGATAATTACCTAGTTTTACAGAATTCAATCTAGAAGACAGAACAAAATAGAGACTTTTCTTTGTGTCCAAGCTCTACAGTCACCAGAATAAAATTAACAGATTACGACTTTTGAAGTATGATCATTAACAGTAGATTTCACGTACAACAGAGTTAGAACAGGGAACATTATAAAAAGAATACAAAATTAGTATTTCATATCTTCAATCATTTGTGATTCTATGTAAGACTTTGTTACTGTTTTCACATACAACAGTAAAGTGGCCTGTAGGACAATGTAAAATATTGTAGTTCTACTTATACACTTTTTTCTTCCTAGTATTTTGTAATTTACAGTAATTCTCTGAAAATTTGTTATTAGTCTAGAGTGATAATGCCTTAAAAGCTAACAAGATAGGTTATTTTATAAAAGAAAGCAAATGACAGTGATTATTAAACAGTTTTCTAATAAGCATATAGAAAATTTTATTTTATGCCCTGTTAGTTGTAGATTGTCAAGTAAGTTTTTTTAAAAAACATCCACCTGCCTTCAACAGACAGCAGTTACCTGTGTTACTTAGATCAGTACAATCTTACCTGTACTGTTGTTTATTAACTTAAAATTTAGAATAGAGAATTCCTTCATTCATCTCCCATTCTTTAATTTACAGATTCTGCAAGAAAACTAAAATATTTCATTTACTGAATAAACAGAATCTTACCTAAAAACAACTACAGGAACACTTTTGCAGACCTTCATTCACAAGTCTGCAAAACTGTGAACATGCATGGATCAGGTTCACCTGGATATTTACACTTTTAAAAGCACATGACAATTTTGTTGAAATACTTTTTAGAATTCCCACTTATATGGAATTGGTTACCTTTGGTCCATCATCCTGGATCCCGATATGCCATCATCACCAGGGGCATTTTTCTGTAGTGGTACACTTAATATATTAGTACTTGCACATCACTGCATGTAGTTTTAAATTTCTATATGCAACCCAAAGGTGTTGTTCTGTCTGTACTGTAATCATACACAGTATCCCACATGATCACTTTCATGTTTATGTTGAAAAATCCTTGAGTGTTGGCCCGATTTGATACAATTATAATTGTTCGTGGGTTGCTTATTTTCTGGAGATGCTCTGATATAAAGCATAATTTCATCTGAGGGGAAATTGTCTCACACTTAGAAGAATGTAGGTTCTTCTCAAAAGAATCATAAGCTTGTGTTAAGTGCCAAGTCCATTTCCATACATCTCAGAGTCAGAAAGTCCTGATGCCCTAGCTTTCTGCACAGACTTTCAGAAAGGCATATGGTTAGCAGCACAAAAAATAATCTCCACATGAGACCAAACTCTTAGAACTGAAAAGTCTATAAAAGTGAAAAAGTTTACTAAATTAGAGATCAAGTATTCTTTCCGGGATATGTTTTCCTGCATAAGACAAACTTTTGAAAAGTAACAGAATTCAGTGTTACAACAGTTTTATTCTGCTACTGCTTGCAAAATCAACAAACAACTCAAGTTGTGTGACAGACCCAAAGCAAGACCAGACCATGCTGACGCAGGCTGCGCTCTATGTATTCAAATATGTTTGTCTCAAAACTTTATCACAAAAATTCTTACTACTTCCATCCCTGGGTTCACATACCTGCTCAGGATTAGCTCTGAAAATCTCCTCTATTTCATGTCCAAGTGCCACATTTAGCCTCTGATCTGAAAAACAGGAAGTTTGAGAATCACAACTCCAACACTGGCCTTATCTAGATAAACCTAGTAATATGTTTAACGGTGTAGCGTTCTGAAGGCACACAACACACTTTGTAAAACTCTTCTATTCAGCACAACTATTTTAATGAAAACAGACATGAAAAAGTCTACAAAGATTGTGCAATAACAAATAATGAATTCAATTTCTTTCATATTCCTTCTACTGTAGACATTTTTTTTAAATGAAGTTTTTGCCTAGAAAACCCACAAACACATACACATCTTAATGATCCACAAGGTCTAAGTGCAACAAATCACACTGTGTGCCCAATTCAATCAGCTGGATGTTCAACAAGTAATCTGTTCTTGAGAATGCAGCCCTGCGGCTCCCATTAAACATTCAAGAAACTTAGGTCAGGAGTTTCACTGATAAATGGATCTGAGGACTGAAGTATATCCAAAACAAACCCAAACAAGAAGGAAGAAACACAGTCTGTCAGTATCAGCTTCTTCAGAAAGAAGCAAAGCTAATGAATAATGAGATTTTATACTGCTGAGCTGGGGCCATCAACTCTTCCTTATTCATATAACTTTGCCTATAGGGATTTCAGAAGCTACTTGTACTGTAACATTAGATATTAATAAAAATGTATTTACTGAAAGATTATCAGGCATTGGAATGGGCTGCCCAGGGAAATGGTGGAGTCACCATCCCCAGAGGTATTTAAAAGACGGGTAGATGAGGTGCTTAGAGACATGGTTCAGTAGGAGACAAGTTATGGTTAGACTTGATTATCTTAAAAAGCGGTGAAATCTTTAACACCCCTTACAGATGTACTCACCTTCAACAATGAATCATTAAATACATTCTGCTTAAGTACTACTGTATTTAGTAGCCTATCACAAAAATACATAATGGAACAGATGAATTACTATTCATAGGGCTGGCTGCTGATACTTCAAAATGCATTCAGGTAAAACTCAACATATAAGTGATCAGTGCCAGGGAATAACATTTAACTCTGAGAACCCTCTTTACAGCTACAAATGTAACACAACAAATGCGCTACAAAGCAAAAATTTACAGTGCTTAGAGAATCTCATTTTATGTGTATTACATACATTCGGCATGTTAGAACTTTGATTTCACATTCATGAAACAAGAGAAACATCAAACAATTATTTCAGAGTTAGGGCAGTCCTTAAATTACTTCTGTCTCATTGGCATGCAAGCCAACTTCAAATCTGTCATTTGGCACCTTTCAAAATGTATGAAGTTTTTTAAAGAGAGAATGAAACTCCTTGATAGAAAAGACAACTCTTATCACTTCACAGTGAGTTTACTAGAAGCTCTATTTAGAGCCTGAAGATTTATAAAATAAGAAAGTACACTCAAATTAAATACATATGAAAAAGCAAAACCAATATTTGAAATTACATTATTTGTTCACATCACAATATAATAAAGATTAGAAAAAACTCAATAAAGATATAGGCTTTTGAGTCAGGATAACTCTCTTGGCTCAAACAAAAGCTTTTCTGCTACTGAGGTCTTTGGAATCAAGAGCTGGTCTGTCACCTTTGGCAACCCAAAACTGTCACATAAAACTCAGCATCAGCTGAAATTTTGAGTTTCGAGTGATGCATGGTCATAACACTTTATGCACTGTGATCCTGTCCTACTTCCTGCTGTGCTAGCTTTTCCCACAACACTGATTAGTGACAGGGACAGTAACATTCATGGGATAACCCATCAACCCATTCCCTATAAACTGCAGATGCAATTTTTGCCAGTATCTTCCTAGTGAGTAATTAAACTGTACTGTGATTTAATCATATTATGCTTACATTAAAAATATCAAAATTGTAACAACACACAATTAAAAATACTGGGTTTAGTCTGTAAAGCAAATGTTATGCATAACTAGTAAGACAGCTATTTTGTCCTTCAGGTGTAAGTCAAGCATAGGAAATGTAGCAGTTTCTTAACTAGAGAAAAGAGACATTATCATAAGAAAATGAATGTGGTTTTGGCTATTACCGTTATTAGCAGCTTTTTAATTATTAGTCTTCCACTAACTAAAAAATAGTTTTGATGCTGTTATTCATTATAGCAAACACTAGAAGAGCTAGAGAATAGAAATCTTCATTGCTACTACCGCAGGCAAAACGGTTTCTACTCTTGGCTAGAAATTGACTCTCGAGAGGCTGTGTTCAGGCTTCGACTCTTCTGCTCCATCCTTCAAACAGCTCCGTCGCAGCGCTTGGGCCAACCCACCACGTGTGGGGAGCAGCCGGGCAGCCCACCAAG